ATACCGTTACGGGAACTACTCTAGCTCACCACTTGAGCCGAGCACACTACACAGCGATCCCCAAACAGCGGAAGTAATCAGGGTACGAAGTGCTGACATTGATTAGAATGATGCAATCGCTGACGGCATATTCGACGGGTGTTTGCGCAAACGAGCACAGCAGACCGTTCACTGTATCGACTGTGCCTCTCCACAGCACCCCAGTGTCCATCTTCATACCCCTAATTTCCTTTCTCGGTTTCTATGAGCTAAGGAAATACGCTACCCCGCAAAGATCTCAAAACCCCTGGCCAGCTCGCTTCCACGAAGCTCATCTAGCTCAGAGACGATCACACCGGCAAGCTAGGCTTCGGGATAGGCATTCCGTTTCCACTAGAGCATCGGCTTTGCCTGTTATGCCGCTGCGAGCCTGCTCGCCCATGGATGCCGGCTTCGCTGTTCGTCCGGCTGGACGTGCGCCACCGATACCTAGGTAGTCACGGGGCTGTACGACTCAGCTGACATGGTCCTCCTTCTCTGTCTTTCGCGCTTAAGCCTAAGAGGTCTTTTTATAAGAGTACTTTAGTTATATATATTAAGAAAGAAGATATTTAGTAATAGTAGTTTACTAGGCTATTTATCTAAAGTAGTTATCTTTATATATACTTATAGTAGTAAAAAATAACTCTATAATAAATATATAATAAGTTATTATAATAAGTTTTATAATAGCTTATAAAATAAAGATAGCTTATTTAAAACTAAATATAAAGCCTAACTAGCTTATATATAAAAGATTTTTTATTACTTTTTTTATCTTTTTATTATAATTATAAGTATAATAATTCTCTTTAACTACTTTAACTACTATTCTCTTATTATTACTAATACTTAAGTAGCTTATTTTACTTTTTTAGTTTTTTTTCTACTTTTTAAATATAAGATTATCTATTATATAGCTTTATTTCTTAAGAAACTTTATAATCTATACTATAAAGAAAAAAAGTAAATAAAATATATACTTAAAATAAAAGTAGCTATTTTTTTATTTAAGAAGCTTAATAATAGTATATAATTTACTTAAGTAATAGTATAAAGTTACTAATATTTTAGTCTTTAGCTTTTTTAAGTTTTATACTAATAAGCTTATAAAGCTTAAAGCGCTACTTTAAAAGCTATTCTTAGTATAGCTATAGCTAATATATACTAAGTAGTACTTTTTTAAAATAGTAAAAAAAATTAAGTAGTAGCTAGCGTTAGTAAATATAGTAATTAATTACTATAGTAAGTAATTTTAGTAAAAGTAAAAGTAAAAGAAAAGCTAGTATTATAAGTTAATTTTATAGCTTTATAATATTTACTATTTACATAGGTAGTATTATAGAAGGAAAAAATCTGCTTCTAGACTAGCGCCTTAGCAAATAAAACTAGGATTACATTAATACATTAAGGGAGCTAACATGGTCCTACCAAGCGCTAGGAGCCGCAACACCACCGAGCAAGTATCGTGACCTTCCATTTTCGCCCCTGATTCAAGAGGTGCTTCATGCTGCCACGTCGGTGCCTCCCGGATGCTGAGTCGGTCGTAGTGTCCGTGCTTCCCGGTCGGTGCGGTGGCAGCGCATCAACAGCATCACACGACGTTCTGACGATCGAAGCAGTAAGTTGCCGCTCTGGTTCTGGTTGACAGCAACATGACTGAGCACACGCCGGGTGTTCCAATCTCCTAGACGGCCGTCAAAATCCCTGCTGGCATCATGTTGGACCTCTAAGCTCGCCGTATCCTATCTTGAACAACGGGAGATGTCTCTCAGTGCTACCTCCCGCAAGACACGCCCATGTACGCAAGGCTTCATCAGAGTAAGCTTCAGAGTACAGCTCTACGGAACTGCGACCCTACTATCGCCTATAAATCTTTAAGCCAACTGCTTGTCTCGAACAAGCTTTCGATCCTTATCTCACAGCGTTGAGGTCAAAGGTAGCTCAAAATCACCATTGCACAGGATCTCTGTACAACTTCAGACAATTCGCAGTAAGACTAGCACCCGCAACGTAGCATCTCCATCAAAGGTAGGTGCAACACGAGATAGGGACATCGGACATTGGGGACACGAAAGAGCCTCATTTACCCATGTTTCCGTTATTGGCGTTGTATCACATGAGATAGGGATGCGCCGTGCATATGGATTCACGGGTAGTCGTTAGTGCGGTGCATGGCTTTCAGCGATGCAATGGAAACCGGAAAACGTTAATGAAGAAAACATTGGGTATCATTCTGTCCAACTACTATCAAATATCTAGAACCAGACTGCTGAATCGGAAATCTATCACACAAGACCTCAACGAAGTCCTTACCAAAAGAAGCGCTCCGTCTATACCAACCCCAAAGAGAACGCCAAATCCCACATCTCACCTAGATCTCTCTATCCATCTTTCTTCCCCTCATCCCCTTTATCCTGCGGAACATGATCATGAATGAACTCATCCACCCAATCCTTCACCCCATCCGCCTTGTGCGTCAACCACTCCCACCAACTCTCCTTCTTTTCTCCCTCTCCCTTTTCATCATCGCTCTTCTCCCCCTCGCTGTCTTTCAACTCGTCTTTCCCTCCACTCGGAGGTGTAGGCCGACTAGGCGCATCCTCCAAACTCGGACTCGTGTCTTCCAGCCCAGACGCTGACGCCGCGATACTGGAGAGGGAGTTTAGGTCTGTTGCTGGCATGGACGCGAGGTTCGATGGTTGTGGTAGGGAAGAAGGGAGGATGGTGGAGGAAGAGAGAGTGTAAGAAGACACGGGGTCTTCGGGTGTTTCTTTCTCGTTGCCAGAGACCGAGTCATCGTCGGAGTGGAGGCCGACCGGCTTGAGGGGCAGGCGCAGAGTACCGTTGTTGGGGGCGGGGTTGAGACCGATGGAGTCGCAGACTATGTTGTAGAGCTCGATGTTTTCTGTTTTGGTGGTGTCAGTTTGCTTCCTTTTGTGTGTATGTATGTCAATATTTCGAAACTTACGGAAAGGTTCCATCCTGCTTCCGGCTTCGTGCGGGAACGCTGGGCCTCGGGCGATGAAGACGGCACGCATAAGCGGATGTTCATGATCGTATCCATGGAGTCCCTTGGGATGATACTCCTCGCCCGTCTTCAACCCCACCTCAACGTTGAACTCGTCTTTGGTTACAATCGCCCATCCCGTCTTGGGAACAATCCACAGCGGAGCGATCCTGTCGTTTTTGCTGAAGTGATAGCGCTCCGGCATATTCTCATCTCGCAAGTAGACATCGAGATTGGGGTTATCCTTTGTACGTTCTAAGAGCTGGTTGTAAAGACGATGGAGCGAGGCTGGGTCTTTAGGACGAAGGCCATAGAGCGGCCAACCGTCTGTGTGAGAGAGTTCGGCGGGGTCGATGAGGTCCTCGAGCTGAACCAGGCGGGTTTTGTCTGTTGTGGCCATGCCGTGGTCTGAGACAACGATCACGTTGACGATGTTTGTTAGGTTGCGTGCGTGGAGACCGGCTAGGATACCTGCCATCATTGTGTCGGCGTTGGCGATCGTCTTGCGGATTTCGGTGCTGTTAGGTCCGAAGCGGTGGCCGTCACCATCTACATCGGGGACATATGCTGCAATGAGCTGCGGTCGCGGTGTGTTTGCGCTCGCGCCGATGTCTTTGGGACCGGGAAGATCAAGGAGCTCCATTATGCGATCTACCTTCGTAGGCAAGACTTCTGAACCGTTGTACTTGTCGATGTAGGCAATCTCTTGGTTCAGGATATGTGCTTCAGAGCCTGGCCACATGTGGACTGCTGTCCTGACTCCTTGCTTCTCGGCAGTCACCCAGAGAGGCTCGCCGCCCCACCAGTGCGGTTGTAGACTGCGTTTGGGATCCGTGTAGTAGAACTCCTGCTCGAGTTCAGGGTCCCAGAATGTGTTTCCTACTACGCCGTGCGCTTCGGGATACATGCCCGTGGCCATTGTGTAGTGGTTTGGGAATGTGACGCTGGGGAAGCTGGGCATCATGTACTTTGGCGATATGCCCTCTGCTACGAACTGGTTGAGCGTAGGTGTGAGATTTCGGTATAGGAAGTCGGCGCGGAAGCCGTCAAGCGATATGAGGATTGTTGTCGGCGCAAAGAGTGAGGTGCCATTGGAGAGCATGGCTGCTGCTTCTTTGACATCTTTCGGCGTAGAGAGGTTGTACGTGGCTGCGAGGAGGACGACGAAGAGAACGATGATGGATACGTATATGGCTATCCGGCGGTATAGACTCTTCCTGCGTACCTGTAGTCCATTAGCTTCGCTCGCGCATCCGTAGACTCTACACACCTTCCTCTGCGACTCGCTCGCAAGTAGTCGCTGTTCATCGCTCAATGAACTTCTTCCCGATCGGAAACTTGTACTGGAAGCCCCAATACCTTCTTCCATTTCGTACATGAGCGCGCTCGACTCTTCATTGCCGCCTTTCCTGCGCTCCTTCATCTCCTTCTTCTTATCCCACTTTCCGACCTTGACGCTCGAGGCTCTGCGCCCCAACAAGCCCTTGCCGCCATCTTTCTGCGTAAGAAGCCTCTCGCGCTCATCCTCCGAATCTAAAATGTCGTGATCGCGTTCGTCGAGCTCGCCAGATGGTCTGCCATCATAGCCTTCGTCGTCGGAGGTGTGGTCGTACAGGGTGCGCTCGTCGGTGCCAGCATCGGAGCTAGGCACCCGTTGCGATTCGTTTTGCGGTTGCGAAGACATGATCGCGTCTTCAGGCGATATATTACATAGCTAGGTGGAAAAGAAACGTTGCGCCGCTACGGTGCTCAACATTTTGGGGGTCAGCGACCCCAGACGTGTCGCTTGGCATCCATGTTTCACGCGTGCAGGACGGTTATGTCGGTCGCGTAAAGGCGCTATTCGGTAATTTACTTTCACTAAACCTTCATCTAAAAATTGGGGTGAACAGAACATTTGACTTGACTTTGTGCATGCAGCAGATGGTAGATTATCCAAGATACTACATTCTTTCCGTTATTCAACATTCGTTCATGCCATGACCAAGATAACGTCACGGCCGGCCTTCCACTTAAGACCTGCGCCGGCTATCTTCCCCTTTGAACAAACCCACAACAGCAGCCACATATGCTCTGCAAGCTCTCCCCAATTAAACAGCTGCATCATCCCAAGAGTTTCAGAAGTACCCTTCTCTCGGTAGAGATATGCGCCCCAGCCGAGTCTGCCATCTTTCAGCGGTTCACACACGCCATCCCAAAGGTCTTTCTGAGCCTGCGCAGGCCAAGTCGACAAGTCAATGAGCCAATGACCTCGTTCATTGCCCACTGGATCGCGTGACTTTCCAATTGGTTTGAACTTGCCTGGATATTGTTCCTTCAGGGCTTCCAGGTAGGGTGTGACCTGCCGAGGCCACGTCTCCGGACTCTCTACACCTATCTTCGGTGCTGGAGATTCAACTATTTCCGGATAATCGGTGAAGTCTATGGGCGGACCGGAATCGTCGATTTCTTGCACCTTGCTGTTCTCACTGGCTTGGTCTTCTGCTAATGGAGAAACTGGCTTTGGCGCATCAGATGAGCGGACGCTTTCTTGCTGAGTTGGGACGACGCTGCTGCATTTGGGATGCACTTCTGGAGAAGCAGGCGTCTTGGCTTCTGATATATCGCTACCTATCTCCAGGCGCGTACTTTCCCGACGATTCACATCTGCGAGAGGTACCTGGGGCGAAGACTTAGCGCTAGGCGCATCCGGCTCTTCTGCTGTAGCGACGATCGCGTGTTCCGTTGTCATAGCAGGCGACGAAGAAGCCTCCTGCATGACATCCCTAGCGTCCGACTCGTCTCCGGATGTGTTTTCAGAAGTCATTGAAAAGGTATCCTGCAATTGACTCTGTAGTGCCAGTACCGCAGCTTGCGTATCCTCAATAAACGCCGTATCAGCATCCTCAGGACTGCTGGGAACATCTTTTATGCACCGCCGTTTGCTAGCAGCGCTTGACTTGGGAGTTGCTTGCGCTTTCCAGTTTTGATGGATACGTTCTAACCGCGCAAGCCGACTAGACGTTGGCGCAAAGTCGTCTTCTCCCACATCGTCGGACGACGCGCCGACGTATCTTTTGGGATATTCATCGGACGATAAGTGAGATGGGAAACTGCCGTAGGAATCTTTGTTGGTCGATAAGATGGAGGTATTGACGGACTCGCGAAATGAATTTCCTTTGTTTGGTGGCGAAGGGTCGCTCACTCGGGAAGCAGCAAACTGGCTCGACACATCGTGTTGTGGTGTCTCCTCAACGTTTTTACGATGCGGTCTAAAGTCAAGATAAGCGTCGGCCAAGGAGCGGTAAAGTTGGTCGTTTTGTCGAGTAGCCGGAGCGGAGATGTGGACCAACAGCTCGTGTTCATCGTCCATAGTTGAGTACGAACAGGTAAATCTTGAGATTTTCAAAATCCATCGTAAGAGATATATACAAAAGCGATCCAAGTAAAGCGCGCACGGATTGTTGTTACGTGAGAGGACGGAAGAGGTCAAGTGTAGACGAGGAAGGGTTCAGCGGGTTCATTGACGCGACTTGGCAGGTGCGAGTAAGGTCTGTGCACCTTCTCACGAACGCATCACCATACTTGTCGATTAGCATGTAACGGAGTTGGACAGTCGAAGGATATCCTCTCGATCTTCAAGTTCATATCACTGAATGTGTTTGTTCAGCTCGAGGACAGCATCGTCCAGCGTCGTCATTCAATGGTATGTCGTCTATCATGCATGCTATCATGTAACCATCCCTACGGATATCGCTGAAGAAAAGAACCGCATCCCTTTTTGTGACCCAAAAATTACTCCTCGTCATCCTCGTTCGGGGCCTGCATCTCCTCAATATCTTCCTCCTCGAAAGTGTGCATCGGTACTGAGTAGAGGCGGAGAAGAGACTTGTTGGGGTCCTTGACCAGGACGTATTTGCCCTCGTCCATGCGAAGTACCATGTCAACAATGGTACGGACGATAGCCCATCCGTTGTTGAGGTTGAGTGCCATCTGGGCGGCGAAGTCGCGGGGCTTGGCTGTGAGGACACCGAGGATGACGTGGTCGTTGTTGTTCTTGGGGTTGGTACGGGAGACGAAACTGTAGTCATGTTAGTTGAGTCGGATGTAACAGATTGAAATACGTACCCAAGCTTCATGGTGTCGGCCTTGGCCAAGATACTCTGCGTAGTCCATCGTGCAAGCTTGCAGGAGTTGTTCTTCATCTCAGTGGCGAGAACAGCACCCCTCTGGCTAGCCAACTTGGACCTCCAGTCGAGCGCTCCACCAGCGCCTTGCGCCTTGTTGTCGAACTCGTTCAGGGCCTTGATGGTCAGGTACTGGTCCTCACCGTTGATGTTGTTCTTAACAACAGCGTCCAACTCGGTCCGGACAACCAAGTGCAGAGGCTCCTCGTCCTTGTCCAGAGACAGATCGAAACGGCGGTACCTGTAGGCCTTGGAGGCTGGTGGGTCGGTCTCGACCTCCTCGTTGTAGAAGGGATGCTCGTGGGGCATGCTGACCTTCTGGCTCTCGGACTCGGTAACGACCTGGAGGGGGAAGATGTTGTTGATGTGTGTGGCTTCCAGCATCAGAGCACCAGGGCTGTTGATAGAGTCCTTGTTGCCCTCGGAAATCTCAAGCGGCGCGTCTGCGGCGTTCTCGTTGACAGTGACCATGTCCAGACTTGAGCCATCGCGCTTGTCGATGAAGACCTTGTTGCCCCGCTTGGTGAAGACCAAATCCCAGGAGTAGACCGACTTGGTGGCGCACATGAGCATGGAAAGAACACCATCGGTAGCGAATACAGTGCCCTCGTCCTTGTCGGCGAGCTCCTGCAGGATAGGATCGCTGGAGGTGGTGACATTGTAGGCGGCACGGTCGAGGACGTTGAGTTTGCGCTCCGAGGTCCTGGCACCGGGCTGCTTGTCGTAGCTGCGGTCGTAGTAGTAGAGGAATCCGTAGTTGTCGATGTCCTCGCCCTCGTGGGTGTCGAGGTTGAGCTTGCTGAGACGGGAGAAGTCAATCTCCTCCATGACGTTCCATTCGGGCTTGACCTGCACGGAGGCATCACGGTTGCGCTGGGGCTTGTCGTCCCTCCAGCCAAAGCGACGTCCTCCCCTGCCGCCACGTCCACCGCGCTGGTTGTCGTACTGGTTTCCACCACGGCCACCAACACGCTGGAAGGTGCCCCGCCCGCCGCGTTGCGCCTGTCCGCCCCGCGCTCCTCCTCGTCCACGGAAGACGGTGCCGCCGCCTCGTCCGAATCCTCGGCCGCGTGCTGATGTGCGTGTGTTGTCGACGACGGAGAAGGTTGCCTCCTCTTCGGCGGCCTGGATGGCGAAGGGGTTGGTCTGCTGGTTCGCGCCGTATACCTGCTGGTCTATCAATTCCATTAGCATCCATATTTTTCTCTTCCACCATCACCAAACATACCCCTGTAGTTGCGGTTGCCGTATTGCTGGCGTCCTCCCCGCTCGCGGTCCTTGCCCTCAGTCCAGTCGGCCATGCGCCCCAGCTTGTCCGCCTTGGAGTAAGGCGCGAACGGCACGCCGTCGAGCATCGACTCGCTGGTGACGGGCGGGCCCCATCCTGCAGTGTCGGGCAGCGCGGACACGAGGTCCAGTAGTGATGCGGGTGCCATTTTGTGAAGATGCGGTAATGCTGGGCGCTCGTTGTTGCCGCACAGAAATTATGTGGGCAGTCAAATTCCGCGCTAACGAAACGAAATTCCAAGGTTCCTACCCCGCGCTCTCTTTCACTCAAGCCATCGGCACCGAGCGCTAGATGCCATCATCCACTAACATACAAGTCCGTACAGTCCAGCAGTATATCGGACGTTCTTCTGTTATCTGTTCGAATTCTTCCTCGGATTGCCAGGGATTGTACGCGGAATCTCCCAGTTGTCTCCTCTCTCTACACCCGCCATCAGATTACATACGAAAATGGCGTTCCGGTGAGAAGGATGCACAATGCAGACGCCAGGTTCGGCCAGGTGCTAAACTGTGAGTGGTACATTAATATCACCTCTCGCTACACAATGAAGGAATTGCTGCATCGAAGACCGAATCTAGAGGTAGATGCGAGAGAGTTCATGCACACCACATCCTAGAACCTGAGCAGATACCATCTACGGCACACAGCCACAGCTACATGAGCCAATGAGTCCTCTGCCTTCTCGTATCATCCCACGTCTTCGGAACTAGGTGAGTGAGACAGCAGAAGAACAAGTTTTCACGTCCTTCGATGACGTATTCTTAAGCGTTACTTCGTCTCAACATGTCCAGATACAGATTTGGCTTCATTCGTACATCAAACTTTACCCAATTTCTTAGTACCTTCGAGGGCCGAATCAGTTTGTACGGTATACACAATGCGCTTTTGCTTCCTTCAATCTACGCAAGATGCAGTACGAGCCTCTCGACATGACGAAGAACGAGATTCGTGTTCTCGAGTTTCTTGATCTTCCTAGCCCAGTCTCAACCGAAGGCATCATTCGATGCTCTATCAGAAACGTCTCGCTGGGAACTCCTCGCCAATCCTACTTCAGGGGTCGGAAGCTTCCATCAATATGGGACAAATATACCAAGTCTGTGGATTCGCGACACTTGACCCTTGAACAAACGACACATGCTGGTCTACATGGGACTCCGGGCAGCGGCTCTCGTTACGACTGGGGAGATTTTGAAGCCCTGTCATACACATGGGGTGATACAAGCGAGACAAAGACTATCCAAATAAACGGTGTTCACAAGGACGTTCCACGCAATCTCGAAGAAGCCTTGAGAGCCTTGCGAAACCTGGAAGAGACCCTTTCCGGTATGTGCTACTGGATAGACTCATTGTGCATCGACCAAGAGAATATCGAAGAGCGAAATGAACAGGTCAAACGCATGAAAGAGATATACGGTCGAGCTAGAGCTGTTATAGTATGGCTGGGTCAAGAAGAGGAACAGGATGGAATCGCTGTTCAGATAATGCAACAATTATGTAACGGTGCGGAAGGCAAATACCCTCGAAACGACATGGTTCGTCGCGAATGGCCCGCCATCATCCCTTTTGCACAAAAGCCATATTGGAGCCGGTGCTGGATCATCCAGGAGCTCGCCATGAACCACAATGCGACTCTTTTTCTGTGCGGAGAGTTTGAGCTGACGAGGAAAATGATAGAATCTGGCGCCAGATGGGGTCTACGGTTATCACAGGACTCCGAGGATATCAACCATCAGTCCGACCACAAGTTGCAACTTGGTGCGTGGGCCATGGTCACCCACATGGATAATCTCATAGCTATTGAACATAAGGGAAATTATAGAATGGGCGTAGACTCTCTCCTGCATCTTATCCGTCGAGCCGGCGCAACTGATGAGAAGGATAAAATTTATAGCATACTCGGCCTGTTAGATCCTGCGATCTCCGCAGGTGTCACACCAGACTACTCGCTCTCGGTGCAGCAAGTGTATACGGAATTTATGAAGTCGGCTATTAATGGATCGGGAATATTGGATCAGGTCGTCTTTGCAGGTATCTCAGCTGAGCAAGGGTGGCCGTCATGGGTACCTGACTGGAGGGAGCCATTCCGACGCCACTACCCCCATTCTTTCAAATACTACTACGCGAGCAGATATAAACCTGCTAAATTCAGGTTTATCGAGAAAGAAAAGGATCGTACCTATCTTGCATGCAGCGGAGTCCACGTCGACACAGTCGATGGTATCGCAGCCGAACCACCTCTGGAATCTCATACTACGCAAAAAAGTGTTGTCTCTGATAGATACAGCGGTCAAACAGAAGGAGTAATCATGACGACCTTTGGTATGGGCGATGACGAAATGTCGTGGGTACTCTTTAACCTCCCCTGGAGTCTGAGTCACGACACCGACACCGACCACAGCCTTGCCAACGTTCCCTCGAATTCAGAATGGCGAAAACTCTTGCAGTTCAGTTACTTCGAAAGGTGGGACAAGTTCAGGAAATACAACAAAAATTTCTGCATCGGCGGCCGGAAGTTCCAAACTCTCTTTCTACAATCTAACGAGGGAGAGGTGTACATCCCGTATGTCCTCTCGATGATGCGTTCAGTTCTACTTTTGTTGGATCACAGAGCTCTTATTACGACAAGAACGGGTTATTTGGGGTTGGCTCCGGTAGAAACTCGCCTGGGAGATGTTGTTGCTATTTTGCTCGGCTGTTGTTGGCCAGTAGTTCTAAGGCCATGCGATGATGGTCATTACCAACTCATTGGTGAATGCTACATTCACGGACTCATGAATGGAGAAATCTTCGATCAGCAGCAGGACGAACATCTATCAGAGCAAGAGTTCATCTTGTGCTAGGAAGAAAATATAGAGCGCTGTCATCTCCATCAATCGCTATCACTCTCCGGATCCAACTTCCACGCCTCCCTCTCCTCAAACACCACCTCACATCCCCGCCCACTCAACCCCAAATCCCCCCAAAGCGCCCTGTCAGCCCCCTCCTGTCCCTCCCCTCTATCCCGCGTAACAACAACGCACCTCTTCAGCCCCTTCATCCAATCCAGCCCATACTTCCCCATCTCCTTGACATGACCCGCCGTCACCGCAGCGGGATGGAAATCCAAACGTATATTTTCAACCCGATTGACATAGTGACGCGGTATGCCCCTGACAAAAGAGGCGATAGTCTGAATGAATTGGAACCCGAACGTATTCAGTCGCAAGATGAATCCAGCCGTCTCGGCATGTATTTGTCGACACACCGTCCTTCTTGCGAATAGGTGGTGGAGTGGATACCGCTGAGATGGGGGTTTCGGGTAACCGAACGGTTCTACGTGGAGGCGGAGGCGAGGAGAGTGTGACTTCCAGACGGTGAAGACGGTGATGCATTGTTCGGCGAAGGCGTAGGTGTAGATGATATTTCTGATTTCGCCGGGGAGGCGGAGGAGAGGGGAGTGGAGGCGATTATGTGTGGTGAGCGGACTGTTAGCGGCTTCCGATGACAAAGATTTAAATATGTGATATGGCACAGGTGTCGTCATGTTACGTATCGGGGTGTATCAGTAGACATGGGAAGCTCGATTCAACCATCTACATAGGTAGGTGGCAAACCTATAAGACGTGTGCTTCGCAGGCTTGCTTGTTCCAAACACCTCAAGTGAAATCAGGTGGAAACACTCATCGAGCAATGGACATAAAACAGCGTCAACTTCAGATCTTCGGATCCATTACTTTGTTTTCAAGCCTAAGCTTTACATCTTCTCCTTCCCCTCTCCCTTTGTACAACCTCCCCTTCTTCCTTCTTCCCTCTATGCAAACGTTGTTGAAAACGCGATTAAAAAGTCTACTGATGATGAATAAGTGAGAACAAGCCGGAATTGCATCATACGATCCAGCATTGCTAATTACAAGGCTTAATAAAAATGTGTATATCCAAAGCGGGTCGTCAAAAACGTCAAATGTACGGTCTTTGTCGGATAGTCGTGAAGTATCGCTTGCGCTGCGATGCGTTGCGATATAATGCGGATGAACGCTGGAGTTCGATGTCGAGACGCGCCGCCCAGTCTATATGTGGTGAATGATAATTCGTCGCCGCGGGTTCTGATGCTGAATCAAGGCATGATTAGTCGGTCCGGCCCTTTCCATCAACAACTCCATTCGCCCTTCCATTCTTCTCACTCGTCTTCTTAGGAATAGTAAGACAGTTGATACCTAAGTAATCACAAATACTCGTAATGACCAAATGCGCCCACTTGCCATACACAACAGCAGCGAAGACGAAGTAAGCGCGGAGGTACCAGAGTTCAAAGCTGGCGGAGATGGGACCGAATGTCGTGCCGGGGATGGTGAAGTAGGGGTGGTTGATGAGCAGGGCGCCTCCGATCATTGGTGCGAGCATGATGGTCCAGTAAGGGAAGGGCTGATGTGTAAGATGCGCGAGGATGATTTTGGTTGTCATGCGTCCGAAGACTAGGGACATGGTCAAGCAGTAGAGAACAAGGTGATTGTCTTCCAGGAGCTTAGAGTAGGGTGATCCGAGCCAGGCCATTGTGGAGACGACGAAGATGACTAGTGGTGTCCATTCCTTGAGCAGGGGTAGCAGAGGCTCGTTCCTGGAGCGACGCGCTTTCGCTACGTTGACGATGCAGGCGGGGAGATGGGCGGCGAAGAAGGTGAAGAGGATGATGGGTACCCAGAGTTCCTTCAGGGTTACGTCGCCGATTTCTGCTTTGTAAGATGGGAAGTAGGTCGCGAGGGGTTTCGACCAGATCTCTGGGCCGAAGTAGCCGGACATGCAGATGAAGGTGCATGCAAGGATGAGTCCCTCTGTGAGGAGTCAGTAATGTCCACGCCAATCAAGCAGCTAACGTACCTGTAGGACCGTTGAAGTAGCCCAAATACAGCGTATGGGTATGGTATGTCTCCCAAGTCGAGAAGAACATGGGCAGCACAGGGATCAGCGCAGTAAAGGCGCCAATCTTGGTCGAGCCGTATCCAACAGCCGCCGTCTCGAGGAGACTGGCCAAAGTGCAGTTCAAAGAATCAATCCCATGGCTACGTCACAATCAGTATCGTGATATTGGCGCATTGGGCTGTGTTTATCACGTACTCAAAAAGTTCTCCCAGCGGGCTCGAGGTGCCGGTTCGGCGCGCTTGCTTTCCGTCGACGTTGTCCATGGTGGAGTACCTGCAAGGGATTAGCGCAGCCCTCATTCCCTTGTGCTGTTGTGTTTCTTACATCCACATGCCAAAGGCGAAGCTGTAGTATACCCATGAGGGCGCTGGTCCGACCAGATCCGGAATGTAAAGCTCGAGCAGCACGACGTTGCCCAGGATGAAGAAGAAGCCTAATAACGTGACGAGGTTCGGCGCCAGCCATAGCGGCAGCAGCTCGACAAAGGCATTCCACTATGTTCACGTCAGGGCGCGTTGCGATTGCGCGGGTGCAGGGTGCGTACGTAATGCTTGAGGATGTAGCGGGAGATGAAGGATTTGTCGACGCTCGAGTATTTGTAGGTCCTGAGGTGTTGCAGCGCATCTTCGGAGACGCACTCATGCCTCGCGGTTTCTGCGCAATTAACCATGTTAGCTGGATGCGCGTCTGTGGATCGTCAAGGGGGCGTACCTTTGCTCGGCGGCATGGCGGGATTGTGTGTGACGGGATGTGGGAGAGACATGAGTTTGGCGGGGCGGATTAATTTATATAAGGGTCGTGGCCATGTGGTGAAGCGGGGAATATGCGCTGCAGGTGCCGCCTGTCTCTTGTGGGATGGGATGAACAACGGGATGGCTCTGGCGGGCGTCAAACTTCTAAAGGGTACGGGTCCGTCGGCTCGGTAGAGCCATCTGCAAGGGTTGGTGCCATGCGAGATTGCACGTCATCGCTTGGCTCCAATCGCTCTTGCACGTGAAGATCACAGCCTGGCCTGGTGAGAGCATTACACAGTACAAAAACAAAGTACTTGAGATGCTAGTCTGAGACTGATGCGCAATGGGTTATCATTACATACAAATGCCAACGGAACAAACTGCTGTACAAGCTCTTTACACTGAGCTTTGTCATGTGGAGGCTCACCCTGCCTTCCGCTCACTCACTCAAAAACTCCAAATCTGTACCTCAACTCGGACGGCGCATCAACGGGCGTGGGCGCCGGTCGTTCCTTCAAAGTAGGTCCGCGTCGGTTATCGTTCTATGATTCCGCAGCAGCCTTCCTCTGGTCCTCCTCCCTGCGCATGTCTTCCAGGAATTTCTCCCACGTCTCGATAGTGCCCTGGAAGAAGTCGACATGCGCATCGGCGAGATCGCCCAGAGTATCCTTAAATTCGACCGCTTTGATGCGCTCAAAGTCCTGTACCTCCTTGACGGTATGCTCGTCAAAGGCCTCGCTGTTTTTCTTCGCCAGCTCAACTTCGCCCGTGAGTCGCTCAATCTCAACCTCCAGTTTGCGGACCCGTTGCCGGCGCGCTTGGTCGTGATCGATACCCCGGAAGTCTTCTACCTTGGATCGCAGGAAGCCAGACGCGCCCATGCCGGCCCCTGTCGCGCTAGCCAACGAATCCCGATCCGCGGCAGATTTGGCAAGGTACTCACTCAGCTGTTCGAAATCGAGCTGCTTGGCTTCTCGTGTGCGGAGTAGTGTCTTGACGGCTTGGATGTATGCGTCCATGTCGCGCAGACTAGTGAGGTAGTTCTGGTCTGTGTGGTCGCGGATAGACTTGAACCCCTGTGAGGTGGTATTTACAGAAGCAGCGAAGGATGTCAGGTTGCCTTCGACTGCAGGTTCCATAGTCGTCAGCTTTTGGCACTGCGTCGCTAGATCGGCGTAGTCGGTCTCCAGATCACCCTGTCGCCTGGCTACCTTGACGGTAACCTTCTCCACATTGTTCAGATCCTCGCCGAGCTTGTTGGCACGCTCGACAACTTCGATGAAGCGCTGGTCCGGCTTGTGAATCTTGCTAAAGGTGTTGATGAGGCTTTCTGTAACAGCATCCACGAAGCCGCCGCCGCCCTGGTCGGAGCCGCTTGCAGCTCTTGATGACCGTCCCTTCATGTGTTGATTCCAGTCCGGGCTCTCCAGGAAGTTGATGACCAGAGCCGCTCTCCGTAGCACTGGATGCAGTGATATCCGCTTGAGGAAGCGGTGCAGCGAGTGGGCGCGTCTCTGCATGAAGTCCGGACCAAAGCGGTCTCCACGCACATACTCCATCTTGTGCTTGTCGGGCAGCGGCGGGACGGCGCATTGCGGGTACTCTTTCGAGAGCTGTTTCCAGAGGAAGACGAAGTCTGTGAAGCGGCGGCGGACGGAGAATTCGGGTTTCTGG